TGATTTTAGTATCAGTCTGCAACATAACAAAATTGAAAAAAGTGAAGGGGTCTGAATACTTTCCGAATGCACTGTAAAAGTATAAAAATGAAACTGTTTTAATGAAATAACCCCAAAGTGTTTCCATAATTAAATAGAATATATCACTGATGCTTCATGTACTTTTGTAAAATAAAACAACTGTTTTCCATTTGTAGCAATGTTACAGAGTGAACTTATCTGATCTAAACTCAAATCTTTTACATAATTTCCATGAGGATATGTGTAATTCTTTAACATCTTACAATCAATTTGCCCTTTGTTTACATGCAGCAAGGAGTTACGGACGAAGACGAGGTAATTTTCTTCTGTTTGCTATAATACATGTAATGCCATTTGAGGTTGAAGCAGATAAAACTGACTTTCAATATTAATTATTTTGAAGGTATCAATAGCTATTTATTAAAGTAAATCACAAATTGATTTGTAATTACTTGATCCACTCATTTCACGTTACTTCACCAAACATTCTCACATTTTTTGATTCTTGATTTTTGTGCTGTGTTAAAGATTAAAGATATTGCAAGGAAAGTTTTCTCAAAAGGATTCTAAAATACAGTTTTTCCCTGTCCCCCAAAGCTTTTTCATTTATTTACCAGGATTCTTGTAAAGAGTTTATAGACAGTAAAACTGTTGCTGTTAGTCTGACCCCACTGCAAGAAATGATAGGGCAAGATTTCTCAACCTTGGCAACTTTTAACATGCTGGCTGAGGAATTCTGGGAATTCCCAGAATTGAAGCCCCCACATCTTAAAGTTGCCAACGTTGAAAAACACTGTGATAGGGATTGTGTTCAGATCTAAATGTTTAAAATCTTTAGTTTAATGGTTGTCTTAACAGGACAGGGATGCTTCATAGTCAGATGCCTGGATTATATAGGAAAACAGCTGGGTGGCACGTGAATAGAAGGAAGGAGATCCATAGCGATTCGATTTGGATTCCATTTGGTTAATCATCTGAAAATTTGAAGCTGTGGTTCTCAGGGATTTGTAGATTTGGAACTATCAGCAGATTGATTTTTTTCAAACTACATAATTTAAGATTATTTTAATTTCATTATGAGGTGGCCCTTGTTTTTATTTTAATCTGATTTGTCCTGAAACACTAAAACAAAATACCCTGTACACTGAAAGACTAAATATAGGTGTGCATGTTTTCTACCTGGCACGTTTGGAAGGTTGCTGGTGGACTGCACCAAAAGGGGATACAACTCTGGCCATTTTCATTTTGCAAAATATTTTTTTCCCAAGTTTTCTTGAAGCTAAGATGGTAGTTAGCAGAAGTATAAGGGACTAGAAGAAAAAGAAAATGAGGATTACAAGATGTTCTGCTATATCTAAAAATGGAATGCTCAGTTTTTGGGTAAGACTAGATTTTTCTCCTAATACTGGAGGGTGGCTATTAATCCACCTGGAAGACCACCCTGCTGGTCAACTTATTGTCACTTGGGTTCTTCCCTCTTTGTTTACTTTGTTCTTTTGGGCAGGCCAGTGCAGTTCTTAGTGGGTGTAGAGCGGTGTTTCTCAACCTTGGCTGGCTGGGAAATTCTGGGAGTTGAAATCCACTTATGTTAAAGTTGCTAAGGTTGAGAAAGCCTGGCGTAGAGCATTACCCTGATCTGGGAAAGGCTCATAAGGCACATAGTAACACTGGTTGCATGTGCTTTGTAGCTAGAAGCCCCTTACCACAGAAGGGCCTTCACTCTGACTTGCTCCAATCTGCACTCTTTGGTTGGGTTCAAAAGTAGGTATAGGGACACGTGCACACACACCCACACGCACAAAAGGTCCCTGTGATGGCAGGGAAGTTAAGCATATCCTCTTTATTTTCCAAAGACAGCTGCAATACACTTCCTCTCCAACTAAAGTCAATCAGGCTATATGATCCTACTCCTATCCACACATAGCCCAGATGTTATCATACCAAACCTGTTTGGTATTGGCTACCAGCTAAGACTCACCAGGCCTGATACCATTCATGTCTTCACCTCTATATTGTAGTGTTTAGCCTCCATTTATTCAGATTTAATGCTTGCAGCAGTTTATTTTTTTCAACATTTTAGATAGCATACTATGTAATCTCCCTGTATGATGTAAAATGCTTGAGTGTTACTTACATTTTATCTTTATATTAGTTAACTCTACAGCTTTTTACAGCTTTTTGTTTAACAGAAGACTTACAGCTTTTTTTAAACTCTATAGTCAAGTTAGTTTTTAGCCACATGCTTTTTATGTTATAGTTAATTACATAGCATCTGTGTCTTTACTTTATCCTGGTCAAAGACTGAAGATACTGTATTGTCTTGTGAGTTACTATTAGGCAAAAATAGAAGTCAGTAGAAGAAAATTAGGTAACGTTAGTATCATAGAGTTGGAAGGGAACATCCATGGGAATGACATTTGCTCTCCTCCAGTCTTCTGGAGTTTCTGTCCTTCAGGATTCTCAGAGACTCCATCATAGCTCCCTTGCTCTGGCATAGTTTCTCAGAGGATCAAAGTCAGGATGCTCTTCTCGCTGTTAAGGTCCCGGGAGGCTCTTTCACAGAGCCTTCAGAGCAGAAGGTGTCAGGTAATGGAAGGCAACTGTTGTGAGGATGGTCCGGGTGGTGCCTGGTTGTAGTTGGATGAGGTGATACTGTTTTTAAGGGTGGAATTTGTATTTAGGTTTATTTAAATTACACAATTGACTACAAAATGTAAATGGTGCATAATATGTGCTACATTATATCTCCTTTATCAGTATTGATGAAATGTAGATCAAATATATGTATTTTGAAATACATTGAAAAAGTCAAACGTTTCAATGGGGTGTATTTACTTTTTCACATGACTGTATGAAACTAAACACATTCTTCCTATAGCAGTCCCAGAGAAGCCAAATCAGAAAGAGACTCACCAAAATTTTTGCAGTTAATTTCCCTCCTGCTTTCAAACCTGCTTTTCATCTTAGGAAGGTGATGTCAATTGGTCTTCATTTGATAATTTATGGACTCATGGCAGATTTGAATGAAGACTTCTTGAACCATAGAATATTCTACATTTTCCATCCTTTTCTTCCCCAGGTCGATCTTCCCTCTTTCCCATAGATGATGGCTTATTAGATGATGGTCACAGTGACCAAGTTGGTGTATTGAATTCACCTACCTGTTATCCTGCTCATCAAAATGGAGAACGGATAGAACGTTTCTCTCGGAAGGTGTTTGTTGGTGGTCTTCCTCCAGACATCGATGAAGGTGAGTTGCCTGACATGTAATAGGCTAGATAGGATCATCTCAGTTGTCTGTGGAGACAAAATAAATCACTGAGGAGTTGAGACTGCAGGAAGTCTCACTGAACTCTGTGAGATATGCTTCTGAATAAATGTGCATAGGTTTAAACTGAGAGTTGAGAAATCAATTAGCTACAGTATATGTGATTTAATAAGCTCTGGTAAATTCTATAGAAGTAAAGACTGGATCATGCAAGAACATACATGACACAAATTTTGCAGTGTTGAGAAGCACTCATGATTTTATTTCTGTTATTGGGTGAAGCTTCCAGAATGAAGACACTATACTCAGTTTTCAAACTCCTTTTAGGAGTTTTGGATAAATTGCTCTCTATAATAGTTTACCCTTAGATTGTTTTTTGTGATGAACGAGAGAAGATCTGAAATGAGAAATTCCCTGAAAAGCAAGATATGGTGAAACTGCCCTGGAGACAGAGCACCACTAGTTAAAGAAAGAAAGTGGAAAAGAGTATTCAGAAAGATGGAGGACCAGTCACTGTCAAGAACCCATTTGCTAGAAAACCTGGCCAATTGCAGGAGGGTACATAAATTCAGGATACTGGTCACTGTTGGAGAAATTGTGGAAGTTAAGAAGATATGTCTTAGTGAACTTTCAGAAGATTGGATACTATTTATTGGTAACCACAGTAGCCTTGCTAAGCTCTTTTGGTAGGAAATAAAACAGAGTAATATATTTTATATCAGTTTAAAAAGGGAACCAGACTGAAACAAGATTGGAGCTCATTCAAATTGGGCTTTTATCTCTTCAGCTTTTCAACTTTCTCTTCACAAGGCACGGCATTTTAGCAGAGAAGAAACATAGCAAGCCCTAGAACGTGATGATTTTTTTCAGTAGAGCAAAAACCATGAACTGCTGGATTGCCTGTAGACTCCCTGATAGCTTTGGATGATGCTCAGGCCAGAAAGCTACTGCTGCAAGGATTGAGTGACATTAAATATCAATCTGAAGTCAGCTCAGTTTCTTAGCGCTCTGGAATCCTACTAGATACAGGTTCTGGGCACTTGCAAACTTCTAGTATATTCTCACTTCCTCTAAGTTGAGGAAAGGATTTTTCAGGCTAGGCACAATGTGATCCCATCGGTGCTTCTAGACAGGTGGTACAACAACATCCCTATATCCCAGCATACATGCCCTTGTCATTCTGGGGAAATCAAGATCATCCAGCATGTTTTCCTTTACTGCAACTTCTATAAGGACCTTCAAAACAACATTATAACTCCTCTTATGTTGGGGAGAAGGGTGATTTCTACATCCACTACCTCCTTTCAGACTCAAATCATGATACCACCCTAAATTTGTCACTGCAGCAGTTAAAACTAGGCAACAGTTAACGACAGATTGAACTTGATAACTCTAGGTCCTTGGACCATTTTATTTTTCTTTCCCTTTTCTGTCTCTCTCCTCCTCTTATATAACTCTAAATTATTATTATTATAATAACTAAGGTACTAAATAAGCATCATCAATTATACTCAAAGTATTCTAGGTAGATTTTTTTTATTTTAGTCTATACTGCATTTTATCACATTTTTATTTAATAATGTATTAATATTTTAATACTTTCCTAGATTGTCATTCAGCAAAATACCACTGTACTTACAGTGGGGCAAAAAAGTATTTAGTCAGCCACCAATTGTGCAAGTTCTCCCACTTAAAAAGATGAGAGAGGCCTGTAATTTTCATCATAGGTATACCTCAACTATGAGAGACAAAATGGGGGAAAAAAATCCAGAAAATCACATTGTCTGATTTTTAAAGATTTTATTTGCAAATATTGTGGGAAAATAAGTATTTTTTTCTGAATTGTACCACTTTCCTAGATTGTCATTCAACTTTCCTAGATTGTCATTCAAATTGTGCAAGTTCTCCCACTTAAAAAGATGAGAGAGGCCTGTAATTTTCATCATAGGTATACCTCAACTATGAGAGACAAAATGGGGGAAAAAAATCCAGAAAATCACATTGTCTGATTTTTAAAGAATTTATTTGCAAATCATGGTGGAAAATAAGTATTTTTTTCTGAATTGTACCTTTGGCTGGTCATTGACTATAGTAAAGGATTTGATTTGGTTTGATATTTGAAATTCCTGAACTCGAGGGCATCATTGCAAGTTTGAGCTTGTTACTCCATCTTTCTGGAGAATAACTAATTTTTTGTTAATGAAACAGAAGTGGAGAACGTGGAAAAACCAAATTTAAAGTGTTTCCTTCACCCAGTTTTCTATGAATATGTAACAAGAATGCTTGCAAAACCCATGTGCTTTTTGATATATCTGGGAGATATTTTATCGGCATTGTATGCATATATACATATATAGACATACATCCATACATGTATGTATGTATGGATAGATAGATAGATGTAAATAACAAACTGGAGAACATACAGAATAGCTGAAGAGAGGCACTCCAGCATAATTATGTGATTTTCAGAAAAATTGATGTAAAAGGCAGCTGTGGCTTTCATGCTCAAGATAGACCCCAGAAGATACGTGGCCTCTGCTGGGGACTGTGGGGGGATCTTGATCAAATCTCTGTATACAGATGGACCAGATTAGTCCCATAGATCAGACTTCCCCATCCCTGAACTATAACAACAAAGAAAGTTGTTCAGAAATAGATGTGAAAAAACACTGAGACAAGAACTGCAAGCTAGAACAATAATTGCATTTCCCTCCTCCCCCCCCCCCTTATTTTAGATGAAATAACTGCCAGCTTCCGAAGATTTGGACCTCTGGTGGTTGACTGGCCTCACAAAGCAGAAAGCAAATCCTACTTTCCACCTAAAGGTATTGTTTGGAAATTGATTCAGAGCTAGTTCAGTTATTTTTTTTTCTCACCATTTCTCCTTTGTGCAGGTATGTACGAAGACAAGCCATGGGGTTACTTCAGCAGTTTCTACCTTTGTAGTAGAAGGAGAAACGTGTCAGTAAACACTATAGAAAATTATCCACAATTTCACACCCTGAATAATAGCTTGGATAAAATAAGTGGCTCGCTGCTGTTTGTGAAATAAGCCTCAGAAAGGACACTGTTTCTTTATATCAGGGGGGAGAACTGCTAAGGGATCAAGAGCAAAAATACTTGCAAAGGATTGCAAAGAATGAAGGAAATGTAAACACTTCATGTGTAAATTTTCTCTCTAAACCTTTATTAGTTGTTCAATAAAAGCCAGATTCCTCTTCATGCCTTTACATGATTTTTAACTGACATCTCAAGATTGTCTTTGCATCAAGTCTGGCAGTGATGGTTATTATTTAAAATCATAGAATGACGAATTCTATATTTCGAGATTCTAAAATCCATAGTTGTCATTTACTTAAACCACATTTGTTTTAGAAGCATGCCTTAATAAATGCCAAAAGGAAAGGCTCAAATTTTTGAAGCTAAAGTATCCAAAGGAATGTTATAGTCTGTATTGGGACAAATTATAAATAGCTTTTCTGTTCATAGACCAATATATCTCAGGGATTATGTTCCAGTCTTAATACACAACAATATTATTAGATTGACTAAACTTACATTTGGTCAGTGTTTGCTAAAAGAATTGCCTTTTTAAATACAGATTTCTGTATTTAAAATTAATTTGGATTGAAAGAGAATATCTATAATACAATCCAAATGAATGTTAAATAATTAGAAATTGGAGAAAGATTAAACATTTGATTAGTCAAGATATCATTGAAATACTTGTCTAATATAATGGTCACATGTATAAAAACTGCAAAATGTGTGGTGTGTGTGTGTATACACACACACATATACATACATACACATATATGCGTATGTATGTATGTATGTTAAATATGTAACAGTTGAGTTTTATTTTAATCAGAAGCTTCATTCTGCCAGGAAATAGAATAAAAGTGATAGCTATATCATGAGGTTCCGCAACATTCCCCAGATCTACAGGCACTAGCACCATCCCCCATTGTTTTGGGGTCAGCTGTTGGAACTGGTATTAGGCATGGTGTGACAACTAGGCTTGGCCAGAATCTCCTCCAGTTTTGCCCTCCTGGTTCTGCATACTAGCCAGATTTGATAGTTAAGGCTGCCAACCAAAGTTCCTGTTGTGGGCCAACTGGTTCCCCCCCACCCTCCGGTTTTCCAGTCTGCAGCCAATAGGACTCTCCAAATGCTCTCCATAAATAGGGAGAATTAAGCTTACACAGCAAGACCTTACTGCCTGAAGATATGCTGCTAGAAGGTCTCCCCTTTGTTCCCTTTTGGAATCTAGGAAAAATCTGAATACTAAAATAGGCTTATTGGTTGTTTCCAAATTAGTTAATTCTAATTAATTAGCAGAACTTAAAGATGATGCAAAGTTGTAAAACACTCCAAAGAACAGAAATGAGTTACCACTAGACTGCATCCTGTTCTGAACTCCTGAACAGACCTTCCTGAACCCTGGACCCTTCAGCTTCAGGGCCCGGACACCCGTTTGCAGAGTGTTCAGATCACATCCATCACCTTTTTGAAGAAAGGAATGTTTAGGAGGGTGACCACTGCTGCCTTGTGTTGATAGCTGAAGAAGTCATTGCCCTGGCTTACCTTGCCTCTGATCCTCAAGTCACAGAATCTCCCTTTCTAAAAAAAGGAGGGCAGTTTGGCTTGTCCTGCCTGTTAGTCTTTTGCAGCTAGATTTTAGAGAGAGCGCTTGTTGGTGGTCCGAATCAAGCTGACTCCCACGTTAGCTCAGTTTTTCAGGGTGGAGAAGTAACTTGCCTATAGTATTTACAGTCTTTATGGCAGCTGAGGGTAGACTCCATTTTTTCCTCTAGATATCACCATCAAATCAATGCTACATCATTATATGGAAAATTTTGGAAGTTCTGAAGGAATTAAGAACCACCACTGAAATTTAGGAGACAACTGATCTTTTCCCTCCTGAAGGCAGCCTTAGTTGGTTATGAGGATTTTTCTCCATCTTGTCTTTTCTCTTTCTAAAGGAAGGAAGATAAGCCTTTGTTTTTTACTGATATATATATATATGTGTGTGTGTATATATATATATATATATATCAGCTTAAGTTTGGTTATTTCATTGATATGCTGTCAAAAATATACAATTCATGGCAACTTCCTTATATATCTCTGGGTTGGTTGGTTTGCTATTCCCACTGAGTTCAAACAAATATACATCAGATGTCAGTCTCTGACATTCCCCTGGGCTTTAATGTATGCTCTGTCTGCATTCTTTCCAATGAATGTAAGAACCTAACTTATTTTAAATGCTTCGAAATGAATTTTGTATTACTATTGCCTTAGGAATGATGTAAAGAGTATACTCCCAATATTGTATGCTTTTTCTGTTATTTCTGAGTTAAATAATGATAACGTGGGGGAGAGTTAGAGTATCCGTAGCTTTGAGTGGGATTTACCAGTGCAGCTTCTGTCAATGTCAAAAAGGTATTTGTCCATGCCTGATTCTGTTGGTATAAGCTCACACATTCAGGACTCATGTGAAAGGGGATACCTTGAACCTTGTCTCTTGGGTAAATATTAAATACACCCAGAGCTTCCCCTGCAGCCTCATAAGATAGCAGTGGGGGTATCTACTGCTACAGTAGCACTGAATGGTGGGAATCATACCTGGCATTGAAGGAGGTTTTGGTGTAGAAGAGATGCTGCGGTAGGAAATAGCCACACTGGGATAGGATGTTTTTTATCCCCCCCCCCCCCCCCCCC